GTTGGAGGATGGAGGAGGGAGGGAGGAGGGTGGTTCCCACTGATAAGCAAAGCGCAGCGCAACGCTCGGCACAGCGTTGCGTTGCAAACATTCGGCGGGCCCGGGGGGGGAGGGTGGAGTTTGCGCGCGTCCATCCATCGACAGTCGCCGTCCACCTTCGCACTCCGCTCGCTTCTCGCGTCAAAGACTCAGCAGCGCAGGTGAGATGTGGCGGTGCAGGGGGACACTTGGCAGTGTGCGGGGTGGCGGAGTTAGACTGGTGGCCTTAATCTAAGTTTTCTTGTGGTTGTTGTTTGACTTGCATCCCACTGAGATTTTTTTTGTACGCGGTGCTTTTTTCAGGAATATTTTGCTGTTTTTTTTTTTCCCATGGATTTTCTGTTTGCAGTCACATAGTCACTTTAAGATGTTTTTTTCTTTGGTCGTGTTTTTTTGTTTGTTTGTTGCGGTTGCACCCGTTTCAAGAGCCGAATGGCTCGCAGACCTATACCAAAATAAAGAAACTGCAAACTGAAACTGTGTAGGGGGGCACTTGGCAGTGTGCGGGGTCGTTGCCTACTTGCAAGCACTCGCTGTCTCGCCCTGTGTGTTACACGTGCGCACATCAGGACACTGTACTTGCCTACACTTGGACGTACGTGTTCGGTGCCATGCGACTGGGGGTAAAGTCTACCGTGATAAACAAATGTAGCGTTAAGCAAATGCAAGTGCGATCCGGTAGCACAAGGTAATGTGTTTTAATGCACTGTGTAAACAGTATGTGTGTGTGTTATATACAGATAAAGTAGTGTGTACATTGTGCTGAGTAGACACAATGTAGTAAGTACTACTCACAGCGTAACATAGTCGATTGCAGCATGCCGGGGCAGTACACAGTCTACTATCTGTTAGATGCTCTTAAGTGTTTCTGTCTGGTCCACTGCTGGATGAGGGCCCCCCACTCCCCACTCCTCGTTTGCTTGACCATACTTCACCGCGCGGGTCAGTGCTGTGGGTGGGTTCGTGGTGAAGGTTGAGCGGGAGAGCTCAAATCAACTGTGGAGGATTTGTTTTTGCCACACTGCCCTCTGCTGCCCACGCTGCCTATAGCACCTGGGCTGCCCACGCTGCCTATAGCACCTGGGCTGTCCACGCTGCCTATAGCACCTGGGCTGCCCACGATGCCTATAGCACCTGGGCTGCCCACGATGCCTATAGTACCTGGGCTGTCCACGCTGCCTATAGCACCTGGGCTGTCCACGCTGCCTATAGCACCTGGGCTGTCCACGCTGCCTATAGCACCTGGGCTGTCCACGCTGCCTATAGCACCTGGGCTGTCCACGCTGCCTACAGCACCTGGGCTGTCCACGCTGCCTATAGCACCTGGGCTGTCCACGCTGCCTACAGCACCTGGGCTGTCCACGATGCCTACAGCACCTGGGCTGTCCACGCTGCCTATAGCACCTGGGCTGTCCACGCTGCCTATAGCACCTGGGCTGTCCACGCTGCCTATAGCACCTGGGCTGTCCACGCTGCCTATAGCACCTGGGCTGTCCACGCTGCCTATAGCACCTGGGCTGTCCACGCTGCCTATAGCACCTGGGCTGTCCACGCTGCCTATAGCACCTGGGCTGTCCACGCTGCCTACAGCACCTGGGTTGTCCACGCTGCCTACAGCACCTGGGCTGTCCACGCTGCTTATAGCACCTGGGCTGTCCACGCTGCCTATAGCACCTGGGCTGTCCACGCTGCCTACAGCACCTGGGCTGTCCACGCTGCCTATAGCACCTGGGCTGTCCACGCTGCCTATAGCACCTGGGCTGTCCACGCTGCCTATAGCACCTGGGCTGTCCACGCTGCCTACAGCACCTGGGCTGCCCACGCTGCCTATAGCACCTGGGTCATGCACGGTGGTGGTGGTGGACACCCCATCCAAAGTGATAATCCACGTGCGCTGTGTTTATCCCAGGGATGTGTACTTATTTTAGTTGTAGTAGGTGTCGTTTTGTTTCTTAAGGGGCCGTTCATAATTGACGTCACGCGATTTTGGACGATTTTTGACCCCCTCCCCCCTAGTCACGCGACGTCACGAAAAGTCAGACCCCCCCCCTCAAATATGACGTCACAAAGCTCTGCCCCCCCTCCCCTCCAAAAAATAAAACATGCTTAAAATCGCTTTAAACGCTTGTCATTGTAGTGCGTATTTAATGTGGCGCTGCACTCTGATGTTGTAAGAGAACACGTTTATTAAAAAAATATTTAATTAAGTAGAACGTGTTGTCTATATATATTTAAAGTTGCACATTTTGATGTGACGTCACATTTCTCAAACCCCCCCCCCCACCTCGTGACACATCGTCACAAATGTCTGACCTCCCCCCTAGGTGCGTGACGTCATTTATGGACGGCCCCTAAGTACTGATAAATATCAACGTGTGTGTATTTCATTGCTGAAGTGAAGCCTACGCGCCTTCACTCTGAACCTGGCTACCCGAGTTCAATCCCACAACGCGGGGTTAATTAACATCATCAGGTGGCGAGCGATATCCACCCACTTCATCATCACCGCCATCCACTTCATCATTACCACCACCCACTTCATCATCACCACCACCCACTTCATCATCACCACCACCCACTTCATCATCACCACCACCCACTTCATCATCACCACCATCCACTTCATCATCATCACCACCACCATCCACTTCATCATCACCCCATCCACTTCATCATCACCGCCATACACTTCATCATCACCCCATCCACTTCATCATCACCACCACTCGCTTCATCGTCACCACCACCCACTTCATCATCACCACCACCATACACTTCATCATCACCACCATACATTTCATCATCACCGCCACCAGCCACTTCATCATCACCGCCACCCACTTCATCACCACCACCACCACCACCATACACTTCATCATCACCACCACTATTCACTTCATCATCACCGCCACTCACTTCATCATCACCGCCACCCACTTCATCATCACCACCATCCACTTCATCATCACCGCCACCAGCCACTTCATCATCACCGCCGCCCACTTCATCATCACCGCCACCCACTTCATCATCATCACCGCCACTCACTTCATCATCACCACCATCCACTTCATCATCACTTCATACACTTCATCATCACCGCCATACACTTCATCATCACTCCATCCACTTCATTACTACCATACACTTCATCATCACCACCATCCACTTCATCAACACCGCCACCCACTTCATCATCACCGCCACCCACTTCATCATCACCACCACCCACTTCATCATCACCGCCACCAGCCACTTCATCATAACCGCCACCCACTTCATCACCACCACCACCATACACTTCATCATCACCACCACCATACACTTCATCATCACCGCCACTCACTTCATCATCACCCCATCCACTTCATCATCACTGGCACTCACTTCATCATCACCCCATCCACTTCATCATCACCGCCACTCACTTCATCATCACCGCCACCCACTTTATCATCACCGCCACCCACTTCATCATCACCGCCACTCACTTCATCATCACCGCCACCCACTTCATCATCACCGCCACCCACTTCATCATCACCGCCACTCACTTCATCATCACCCCATCCACTTCATCATCACCGCCACTCACTTCATCATCACCCCATCCACTTCATCATCACCGCCACTCACTTCATCATCACCGCCACCCACTTCATCATCACCGCCACACACTTCATCATCATCGCCACCCACTTCATCACCACCATCCACTTCATCACCACCATCCACTTCATCACCACCATCCACTTCATCATCACCAACCACACCACTGACCGTCGTGGTGAAGTTTAGTTAAAACAACCGCCCGTGATTGACGCAATATGTGGAGGACTTCATCCAACAAGTGGGATTGTCAGATGTCTGTAAAGTATTGTTCATTTTTGTAACCTATGCGTATATGTACACACAGTAATGTTTACTGTATGCAGTCATGTTAGTACTGTGTAGTAAGTGTATATTGGGGTAAAGTGGTACTGAACTTGTCCTTATTCAGTACTGGCTAAAGCATGTATACAGCGTAAACATAATCGGTTATAATACAATTTTTCTATCGATTAGTATACCATTCCATTATACTTGTTTGTTTCATAGGCACACTGCTATACAGTACAGTACACAACATAGTTATTTCTATGCACCACCCATCAATACTAATTTACATTTATCAGGGCAGTCTACCCACTGCTGCATGAAGACGTCGTCCCAGGCCAGCGAAGTATGGGGTTCATCACAACACTTGCCATGCTGTGCACTAGAGGCAAAAAGAAACTGAATTTTTCTGGTTTCGGCCGAAAACGAAACCAGACCGAAAGTTGAAAAGTTGACTTTCGGCCGAAACCGAAAGTCAACTTCGGGGAGGAGGGTGGGGGTCCATGGGGAGGGGGGTGGGGGTCCATGGGGAGGGTGGGGGTCCATGGGGAGGAGGGTGGGGGTCCATGGGGAGGGGGGTGGGGGTCCATGGGGAGGAGGGTGGGGGTCCATGGGGAGTGTGGGGGTCCATGGGGAGGAGGGTGGGGGTCCATGGGGAGGAGGGTGGGGGTCCATGGGGAGGGGGGTGGGGGTCATTGGGGAGGGTGGGGGTCATTGGGGAGGAGGGTGGGGGTCCATGGGGAGGAGGGTGGGGGTCCATGGGGAGGAGGGTGGGGGTCCATGGGGAGGGGGGTGGGGGTCATTGGGGAGGGTGGGGGTCCATGGGGAGGAGGGTGGGGGTCCATGGGGAGGAGGGTGGGGGTCATTGGGGAGGAGGGTGGGGGTCCATGGGGAGGAGGGTGGTGTAGGGTGGAGGGGGAGCATGGCAGGAGAAAGATGGTGTTGGGGGGGAGGTGGTTTCGGTCGGGGTGGGGAGGGTGGGGTTTTGGGGAGGGTCGAAATGGGAGGGTGGAGGGGAGGGGATGAAGGGGAGGGTGTAGGGGGTTGGAGGATGGAGGAGGGAGGGAGGAGGGTGGTTCCCACTGATAAGCAAAGCGCAGCGCAACGCTCGGCACAGCGTTGCGTTGCAAACATTCGGCGGGCCTGGGGGGGAGGGTGGAGTTTGCGCGCGTCCATCCATCGACAGTCGCCGTCCACCTTCGCACTCCGCTCGCTTCTCGCGTCAAAGACTCAGCAGCGCAGGTGAGAAGAGTGTGTGGGGGGCTCAAGCAGCAGTGGGCAGCAAGTGGCGGTGTAGGGGGGCACTTGGCAGTGTGCGGGGTCGTTGCCTACTTGCAAGCACTCGCTGTCTCGCCCTGTGTGTTACACGTGCGCACGTCAGGACACTGTACTTGCCTACACTTGGACGTACGTGTCCGGTGCCATGCGACTGGGGGTAAAGTCTACCGTGATAAACAAATGTAGCGTTAAGCAAATGCAAGTGCGATCCGGTAGCACAAGGTAATGTGTTTTAATGCACTGTGTAAACAGTATGTGTGTGTGTTATATACAGATAAAGTAGTGTGTACATTGTGCTGAGTAGACAATGTAGTAAGTACTACTCACAGCGTAACATAGTCGATTGCAGCATGCCGGGGCAGTACACAGTCTACTATCTGTTAGATGCTCTTAAGTTTTTCTGTCTGGTCCACTGCTGGATGAGGGCCCCCCACTCCCCACTCCTCGTTTGCTTGACCATACTTCACCGCGCGGGTCAGTGCTGTGGGTGGGTTCGTGGTGAAGGTTGAGCGGGAGAGCTCAAATCAACTGTGGAGGATTTGTTTTTGCCACACTGCCCTCTGCTGCCCACGCTGCCTATAGCACCTGGGCTGTCCACGCTGCCTATAGCACCTGGGCTGTCCACGCTGCCTATAGTACCTGGGCTGCCCACGCTGCCTATAGCACCTGGGCTGCCTACGCTGCCTATAGCACCTGGGCTGTCCACGCTGCCTACAGCACCTGGGCTGTCCACGCTGCCTATAGCACCTGGGCTGTCCACGATGCCTGTAGCACCTGGGCTGTCGACGATGCTTATAGCACCTGGGCTGTCCACGATGCCTATAGCACCTGGGCTGTCCACGATGCCTATAGCACCTGGGCTGCCCACGATGCCTATAGCACCTGGGCTGCCCACGCTGCCTATAGCACCTGGGCTGCCCACGCTGCCTATAGCACCTGGGCTGCCCACGCTGCCTACAGCACCTGGGCTGCCTATAGCACCTGGGCTGCCCACGCTGCCTATAGCACCTGGGTCATGCACGGTGGTGGTGGTGGACACCCCATCCAAAGTGATAAGCCACGTGCGCTGTGTTTATCCCACGGATGTGTACTTATTTTAGTTGTAGTAGGTGTCGTTTTGTTTCATAAGAGGCCGTCCATAAATGACGTCACGCGATTTTGGACGATTTTTTACCCCCTCCCCCCTAGTCACGCGACGTCACGAAAAGTCAGACCCCCCCCCTCAAATATGACGTCACAAAGCTCTGCCCCCCTCCCCCCCAAAAATAAAACATGCTTAAAATCGCTTTAAACTATTGTCATTAAAGTTACACATTTTGATGTGACGTCACATTTTTCATAACCCCCCCCCTCGTCACACATCGTCACAAATGTCTGACCTCCCCCCTAGATGCGTGACGTCATTTATGGACGGCCCCTAAGTGCTGATAAATATCAACGTGTGTGTATTTCATTGCTGTGTGATGAGGGCGGCGTGTTGTTGTGGAGCGAAGTGAAGCTTGCGCGCCTTCAATCTGAACCTGGCTACCCGAGTTCAATTCCACAACGCGGGGTTTATTAACATCATCAGGTGGCGAGCGATATCCACCCACTTCATCATCACCGCCACCCACTTCATCATCACCACCACCCACTTCATCATCACCACCATCCACTTCATCATCACCACCACTATTCACTTCATCATCACCGCCACTCACTTCATCATCACCGCCACTCACTTCATCATCACCGCCATCCACTTCATCATCACCGCCACTCACTTCATCATCACCGCCACCCACTTCATCATCACCCCATCCACTTCATCATCACCGCCACTCACTTCATCATCACCGCCACCCACTTCATCATCACCGCCACCCACTTCATCATCACCGCCACCCACTTCATCATCACCGCCACTCACTTCATCATCACCACCACCCACTTCATCATCACCGCCACCCACTTCATCATCACCGCCACCCACTTCATCACCACCGCCACCCACTTCATCACCACCATCCACTTCATCACCACCATCCACTTCATCACCACCATCCACTTCATCATCACCAACCACACCACTGACCGTCGTGGTGAAGTTTAGTCAAAACAACCGCCCGTGATTGACGCAATATGCAGAGGACTTCATCCAACAAGTGGGATTGTCAGATGTCTGTAAAGTATTGTTCATTTTGGTAACCTATGCGTATATGTACACACAGTAATGTTTACTGTATGCAGTCATGTTAGTACTGTGTAGTAAGTGTATATTGGGGTAAAGTGGTACTGAACTTGTCCTTATTCAGTACTGGCTAAAGCATGTGTACAGCGTAAACATAGTCGGTTATAATACAATATTTTTTGATATCGATTAGTATACCATCCCATTATACTTGTTTGTTTCATAGGCACACTGCTGTACAGTACAGTACACAACATACAGTTCTTACTATGCACCACCCATCAATAATAATTGACATTTATCAGGGCAGTCTACCCACTGCTGCATGAAGACGTCTTCCCAGCGAAGTATGGGGTTTATCACAACACTTGCCATGCTGTTCACATGTTACGTATGTTACTGCTCTGTGTACACAGTATGTTACATATGCCGCTGCAGTTCATTGTGTAAATAAGTCATTCACTGCTATAGGCATAGGGGATTACCACACTTGACAACTTTTTAAAAAATACATTTTACAGCTTTTGTTGGGTTAGGCTGTACTGTGTGTGGTAGCGCTGTACGATTGTGTTTACTGCGAATGTATGAATGATCTGTTGTTTGCTATGCAATGTACATATTCGCTACAGCTAACAAGATGAGGAATGTGTCCAATGATGTTTTATGTATGCGCAAGCAGTTTGCCATCATGTTTTTTTTATTTTGTTAAACCCCTGTGTAAAAATACTGTCGTTTCCCGAACATAACTCGGCATGTTTTCAACGCCTTAGCTTAACCATTTGTTTTTAGGACCACGTGTGCGTGCGTGTGATGCCAGATGAGACGAACATTCCAGATTGTTCAGATGTTTCTGACCCCATCAACTTGACACACGTCATGACATCGCTCTTATCCTGGACCATCTTCCTCAATGATAAATCAACAATATTAATACACACGGACGTCTCCCACCTCTTTACACCTCAACAACAACCATCTCTCTCCCTCCTTATCTTCTTTCATCCGATCCTGACCATTTATCTGCTTTGCCTTCATCACACCACTACTCGCACCATTTTGTATCTCGCCTCCCCACAATCGTAACCCTTTGGCAGCTGAGATGCCCTATTCATAGATAATTAAGCTGCTTGTGTTGTGTTTTAGCCCCCCCCCCCCCCCCCTATTAGGACTTAGCTAGGTGCCCAGGGTGTTTTATAATGGTTAGGCAGTCACAGAATGGTAGAGGTGGGAATCAGGTTATCTATGTGTGCTCTCGTGAAACGTGTGTGACGATATGTGTAATGTCTTGTTACTCAGAATGTGTGCCTTTTAGCTTTTTGCCTTTTGTGTATGTGTGTGCTTCAGGGTTCACTTGTATGTGTTATATTTGTATCTTGTGCACCTGTTTTTCCATGTGTGCATATTTGCCTATGTGTATATACAAGCATGGTGGTCCCTCCATTTTTACGAAAAAGGATCGCACTGATTACAGCACCTACCGGGAAAGCTCTTGGAAAGGATTATTCAGCATCATCTTGCTAGGCACGCCATGTTCTCTGTTCATCTGTTACAGCAGAGGTGTAGGGAATATGAATGGGACCTACATCTCTGCTTTATTGCTATGGTCAAGGCCTATGCTACTATCATTAGGTTATTCGTGTTTTTTGGGTCCTTGGCCCGATGCTTCCATCCATCAAGGACCTTCATGGTGTTGGGCAAGCTATTCATTGATTGTTCTTCTTGGTGTGCAACAGGGATGTCTTCTGGTCCCTTTACTATTTTACATTTTGTTTGACCACATAGTTCGAGATGCTTTCCACGGTTGTAATGGAGACATTTCCATCTCGTACAGATACAATTGGAGGCTAATCTATGCCAGGGTGCAGTCACAGGATGGCTTCATATTGGTCAACCATGCTATGTATGCCGATGTTCTGGTAATTGCTGCTCACTCTGAGGAGTTGGAGACTCTACTGATGAACCTGGAGTATGCCACTAAGAGATGGATGGGGCCTTACCATCGGCCGCACAAAAACAAAGCACTTGCCTGTGTATTTTATGCCATCAAATGCTCTATCAACCCAAATTCCCATGAATGATGGAGAGGTTTCCGTACCTGGGGAGTGCACGTATCGCCAGCTCTGGTTTGCCAGCGGAGGTCCCACTGAGTCGGTCAAGTGGCATGTTTCATAAGCTGCATAACGCTGTGTAGAACTTGGTTTAACCAGACTGGATTGTGTGAGCTTGCAGATCCTTGAAAGATCTGGACACAGTCCCATCAGTCGTTGAGCTCCTCTGGCAGGCAAAGCTGCTTTGGCTTGGTCATGTAGCCCACATGCCTAGCCACTGCATGCCCAAGCAGCTTCTGTTTGGCCTGATAGAGGAGATGGGCTGATGCAGTACAGGAGGATGTGGAGCTGATGACCGGTACCGGTAGAGTCAAGATCACCCTCTGGAGGAGGCTCATGAAGGACGCGATTGGGCAACGGGGGGCAGAGAAGCAACACTCACAACAACGAGCACAGTGCCAGGCGGTTAAAACGCAGCAAGTTTGCAGTGGGGATCACAGGTGGTGCATCTGTCACTCATCTCAGTCAACCCATAACAACCTGTGTTTGTCCTGTGATCTGCCAGCATGTCTTTTATATTTCTCATGGCCTCAAGGTGCACCTAGCAAGGCACACACGCTGTGGTTATATCACCACCACTTAGTATCGAATGGCGGTTGTCATATGCCAGGGTATGCGTGGTGTTTGTTGGTTAATTTACATGTACAGTATGTGTGTGTATATATACTGTGTGTGTGTGTGCGCGC